TTGTAGTCGTTCTGCTGCTGGAGAGAAATGCGTCTCTGATTGGACAACCACAGCCTGCCCCTTCCTGGCATTCCCCCTTCCTCACCAGTAATGTGGCACAGTCGTAGGAGCCCGTGCCCAAGCAGACAGCTCTCCCCCAGTCGACAGGTAATATCAACTCATCAAAACGAAATGCAAAGTCGAAGTCGACGTCCGTTCCCACCGTCACTTTGAAATGGCATGACTTCACAATTGCATGGGTTCCTTGAAATCCGTCCGGTGTCACACAAAATAATTTACAGTGGGGCGGCATACATTTAAAAAAATCATTTATTTGTATCGTAAGATTTTACACAAGATACTTGGCTATGGTAACACACGAGAGCACAAAAATACCACCCGCCCAAAAATAGTGAAAATATTAGTCGATATAATATTAGGACTTTCTTTGGGTACTTCAATATAAGTGAAGAAAATGTTACAAATTATGTCAAGAAAGATACAAGGAAGTCTTGTTGCAGCAAAACCCTCACAACAGCTAAAGCAAATAAATTGAAGTATGCATTATCTGTTGGAGAATGTTGTCTGAACACAAGACATTTTAATTATCACAACATACTTGTAAAGACAGCAAACATGACATCACATACATATTGAGTTTTTCACTTGGATGGACTTAGTATACAAAAGTTAGTACTTAAATGAATAGACATTAAAGGAAACAAGTTTTCAGCTACTTAAGTTTGTGCTTTGTAAATAAATCCTAATAATTATAGCACAGTGGGGTGAGATGGTGGCAGCACTCAGGGCATCTCTCCACTTTGATAAAACTTACAGAAGTCTAATTTAAATCTTTAAATTTGCTGTGATGGGAAGATTATCAAATGGGAAAAAAGCCTGTCTGATTTAGACTAAATGTGACATTACTGATAAAAAAAATATTTTTTATTTTTTTAAATGATTGGTGGGTAGCAGGGAGACTAATTAAAACTGCAGCTTACTCCACACCACCAGCACAGAAAGCACTTCCTTGTCAAACACGAATTTACAGAAACTACAGTCATTGTCTTTAACTACCACTCTGGTTGCACCCGTCCCACACATTCACGCACTCATTAGAAAAAGAGGACTAAATAATGGAGACAGTGTCCAATCATGGTGCACACAGAATTAATAAAAATCAATGGTAATCAAAATTAAAGAACTCATATACACATGTACACACAGAATATGCTGGCAAATAGACTTTATAAGAAAAAGCTATCAGAAATTGAGAAAAATCTACCTCTTTCTAGACTACTTTATAAATTGTTGTAACACAAATTGGATTAAAGTTGGCTCTGAATTAGATTACTGCTTGAACTTGTAGATGTCGTGACTCCTTATTTTAAGGCAGATTGGACAAGACTGCCTGACATAATGAATGAGCGTACGGTTCTGTTTAGAATGATTAGATTGTTAACAGTGCAAAAATGTCTGTCAATCCTTCACATAGCAATCCCTGGAATAGATGGGTTGGCTGAATTGTAAGTACAGAGGAGACGATTACAGCAGACAAATTGTAAGGCCTGTACACGTTTCAGTTCTAAGTTCTAAGACATTGTGGCAGTTTCACTGGAATAAAAGATGTATAAGTACTCATAACAGAAACAGAACTAAATGAGACACAGGACAATAACACAACAGTTTCATGGAAAACTGTAGAACAATGTCTTGATAAAAATGGCAGTGAATGGACACAAGTACAGATGTTACGGCCATTACAGAGGTAGATGTTGAAACAAGTCAACATTTCATTCTGAAATTGCTTTAAATGTGCAACATTTTGTTTGCAAAAGGTGCAAAACATTTTTGCTCCACAGGAGCAACAATTAACATTTGTTGAAAATGACAGAATATCAAAATACTGGTCTGGGTCAAGGAAACAGTTCACTGTTTTGAAGAAACAAAACCAAACTGATCCTATGACCCATTATCTTTTCAAAACTAAACTAATAAAGATAAAAATATTGGAATCTAAAAAAAAATATTTTGACATTTAAGATGCCAAACAATGACAAAATTTTCAAACAAAACTAATATTGCAGAAAGTTGAAAAAATATTCACGGAGAGAAAAATCATAACAAAATTGTTAACTGGAACTGGAAATCAGAACAAAGCAGTTGGGAAAAGTAGACAAAGGGCATTTAGTACCACAGGTAAATTCATACAATTACACTTTGACAAGTGTGCGGCTGGAATCTTGTTAACAGCAATGGATAAATTGTATATCCAGGAAGGGCGACACTTTTCAAATTAATAGCCTATGTTTAATAGGAGAAGAAACATGACGACGTACTTGTAATTATACTTAGCATTAGCATAGGTATTTTTTTTCTGTTTTGTTTTTCTTTTCAGAAATAGATTAAAGCCATTAATCCTAAAATATTCCAAATTTGATCAAGAGTAACCTTCACAATATAATGTATTCATGATAAAGAAAATCATTTCTTTTTGCATTTCTGTTTAAGCACCCAGTGCCTATTTTTCTGGCAGTTGATGGTTGTCACTTGGTTTCCAGTGACATGCGTGGATAAAGTCTCCAGATCTCTGACAGTCATTAAAAAAGTAAATTTTACTGAATGTTTGAAGTAGCTAACAGATCAATAAAATAGTGGTGGAACTTTTGAGCATTGCTATCAGATTGTTTCACCATTTACTGATGACGTGGCATATAGAACGGTGAGAGCAGCACAACATAGCTACAAACAGGCAGTGTCCATTAATACCTCATGTCAGGAAGCCACATAAAACACATGGATCACAAAATTAATCACTGAATTAACAATCGCACAACAATTGTTAAAAAGACAACACGTCAATTGAGATGATAATATATAAAATGAAAGAAAAAAATTTCTCCTTAAACGCAAGCGCCGTTGAAGGTCGCTAAGAGAGATCACAGTAGTGCCACTCTGGTACGAGGCTTACTGAGGCGGCAGTTCCCACGCCGCCAGCACCCGCCCAGCTCCGGCTCCTGTCCCTCGAGAGGGTGCTCGTGCTCGCCTCGGGGGAGAAGCTGGAGAACGTGTGTGGTCCGGGACGCACGTCCCAGGTGTCGGCCGACCAGGACGGCGTCCAAGAGGCGTGGCAGGGGAGCGCGGCGAGGCCGGCGACGACGTGGTCAGGCGGCAGTGGGTGGTAGGTGGGCCGTGGCCGGCTGGCGCGCTGGCGGGACCCAGGGCGCGGGAGCGTGGCGACGACGGTCTTTATGCAGCTGGAGTGGCCGAGGCCGTGGTGCTCGCCGGCGGTCCTGGAAGTCCACGACGACGACGCCCCTGGGAGTGCCGTCCTCCGGTAGCGGTCGCCCGCGGCCTCGGAGGCGTGCTGGCGCTGCTGCAGCAGCTGCAGGCGCGACAGGCGCTCGTCGACGGCGGTCAGGTCGAGGGCGGCGTCGGCGGCGTGGTGGTGGTGGTGAGGGCGCGCGCCGCCGCCGCCCCGGAGCGTGGGCTAGCAGCGGCGGTGGGGGCTGCGCCAGTTGGCCAGGTAGTCCGGGTACGCGACGGCCACCTTCTCGCTCTGGTAGCGGACCAGCTTGATGGTGCGGCGGAACTCGGGGGTGACGGCGCCCTTGAAGCCGCCCTTGCGCAGGAGCGAGTCGATCGTCTGGATGCGGTCCCAGCCTGCGGACGAGAGGGCGGCGAGTTAGCGGCTCGTCAAACTGACAGGGGGGAAGACCGGCGAGTGCAAGGGCTGCCTGCATGGTGCGCAGTGTACTACAACTCACTCACCCTGTTCGGGGGCCACCTCGGGCAGGTAGGTGGCCGAGCGCTTGTTGCCCTTCTCGTTGAGGAACTCGATGCGGATGCCGTGGACGCCCACCGTCCAGTCCAGGTAGTCCTGGGCGTCCTCGAAGTGGCGCAGGATGGAGACGGCCACGCGCAGGCGCGGCAGCTCCTCGGGCGTGATGGGGCTGAAGCGGGAGTCGCGGACCGCGCTGTGGGGGAGGGACAAAATAAACGAAAATGCCGATGAAAAACGAGCTGATATTTTTTTTGGCCATGTTGTCTGCTCTCAACCTTTTGCTTTCCGTCCCTAGACTAGGGCATTCTAACCAACCCTAACCCCCACCACCCTTTTCAAAAAAAAACTATAAAATATTCTTGGCACGAGAAATCTTATGAGTGGTTAAGAACCAGGTAGTAAGAGATGAGTTACAAATTTTAAGAAAGTTGACCGACTTACCTCGTGATAGCATATTCACGTAGACCACAGTGGAGGTTCATAGCAGAGAATGTACCAATACAGCCCCTCAGCCGCCGATCTTTTCCAATTTCCCATGTCACAAAGAGGGGACTGAAAATAATTAAGTCGTTTTAGAACGAAGAGTTGAGAGCTTTTTACACCCTGAAATTATTGATGATGTCAAAACTGTGCTATTTTTAATACTAGTCTGGGGCCACAAACCCTAAACAAAGAAAAACATACACAAAGAAAATGCCAGAGATGAATCATAATCTGCACCAGAAATTGGGCTTGTCAAACTTAAATTAAAATTACTGTAAACTGAGGCTATTACTCATTTATTGAGGATTGGTGAAGTATGTCAATTAATAACAGAACGTAAAATCAACCCTATAGCAATTTATATAAGAAGACATTGTCTTCAGCTTTAAAATAAGACTTACGGAAACTATTTTTAACAACTAGAACATAATCTATAAGTTTTAAACAAATGTTCTGAATTGGACCTGAGTTACTCTAGTGGGCAATAGTGACCCCAGTTTATGGTAATTATAATTGTGACAATCACTGAATCAAAACAAAGACAAAGGCAACGGCAAGTGTTTTGAAGAAATTAAAGAATATAGCTGTAACATATATTCTATTCTGAATTAAAATTAAAACAGAATTTGAAGGCACAAACAGAACTGTCCAAGAAGAAAAGGGAGTGTAATAAAATACCTACATTAAGTAGGTATAGGTTATGTTTTGGTTCAGGATAAATCACTGACCTACATAACCCTTAAGATTACCACATAAAAATACACTTCATAAAGAAGTTATAATACTGCTTCGTCCAGCACAACAATAAATTTATTATGTTAATTAGAGCAAAATAAATAAATGATAAACTCACTAGGAATCATTGCAGAAGTTTGGGTTCTTTGGTGGCTCCAGACTGTGCAGGTGACAATACAAAACATCGAAGCAGAAAAATCCCATTTCTGGCTGGGCTACGATGCCGTTATCGAGTCCGTTGGGAACGACGGACGTCCCGGTGCCCGTCCCCGAGTGCCCGTTGCATGTTACACTCGAGGAATTGTTCAGTTTCTGCTTCTTGGCTCCACAACACCCAGATGCCATCTTCACTCTTTTCTCTGTCCTCTCTCTCTCTGCAAGCACAGCACAACCAGCACAACCGCACCACAAGCCCGAGCCACGAGCTCCGAGCCTGCTGCTGCCTGCTGTGCTGCCTGCCAGCCCTGTGCGTTGGGTTGCCTAGCTGGCTGGGAGCCAGGCTATAATGACGTCAGCTGTTTGGTTTGTGTTTTGGTAGAGGGCAGCACCGTGCACACTCGGCTGGGAAGGGATCAGCTGATCTGCGGCGACGGTGGTCGCGGGTCGCGGGGGACGGTGGCGGTGAGGCGGCGTGGCGAGAGCAAAATGCACGAGCACGGGGAGACGTGGATATGGACTGGAGTGGATGGATGACCACCGAGGCAAAAGCCACAAACGTGTGGTTAGGGTGCTGCGTGGGATTTCCCTATAGTTGGAGAGGGAACCGTCCACACGACGAATTCAGTCGCAAAACCCGTCTGTGTGCATGCCTGATTCGATGCCACAATAATCTCGATTGCGACATTCTGACATTTCTCATTCGAAGGTGCATACTTTCGGGTATTTAATGTGCTTATGTCACATTCGGTGCATTCAGGGGCCACAAATCACGAATCGACCCGGTGGCTCCCTCTGTGCTCCGCCGCGCGCAACCCGTCCCCGCGGCTCGCGCGTGTGCGGTGGTGGGCCCTGGCGGCGGGGAGGGGTACTAGCTGGCGAGTCTAGGAGGTCTAGCTGCAGCAGCGTTGCCCCGTTCACGCCAACTTTTCACTCGGCCGGCGAATAGCTGGCAGGGGGGTCGGTAGGTCTATTCGACCGTGATGCGGCGTCGGGCTCTGGCTCCTCCAAGTTCCACGACCGCCCGCCAGAGCTTTCAGCAGCGGCGCCGAACGGAGCGACTCCAACCCCAAAGAGCATCCATCGTCGCGAGTCGCGAGGTCCGCGAGTAGCGCCAGCGCCAGCCAGCGAGCGCCTCCTCACCTCACCTCCTCTCCACCTCAGCCTCAGAGAGACCCCCCCAACCGGCTGCGCATGCGTGGCGCACGCCCTCTCGCTCGCACGCGCGCCCGGCCCGGCGGCCGCGAGAGCGAGACGGAGACAGAGCATGCCCCTCCGCATTGCGAACACAACACGAGCCGCGAGCGAGCTCAGCCGAGCCCCGCGGAGCCGAGCCGGGCGGGACGCGGGGGGGCCGAGCCGAGCCGAGGCTATATAGTTGAGCGAGCTGCGTCGGGGCCAGCCAGTATAGCGAGCGCGCGGAGCACGCCCGTTGCTGCAGCACGGACGGGAGTTTCGTGCATCGAATCACTATGCGAAACCCCCTTCGTCTAGCCCTGGGCACCGTCACCTTCCTCTCAGTGTTCGCCGCCCTGGGCCTGTGCCTGCCGGCAGGGTCCGGGGCGGACCTGGCCCTCAAGGGGGTGGTCCTGCCCCCCGCGCTCCCCGCGCTGCACACCGAGGCCGTGTCCGTGCTCAACGTCTCCAGGACCCCCGCCGACCCCGGCCTCGGCTTCCCGGGGCTCGTGCACGACGTCCTGCTCGTGGAGCTGCTCGTCAGCGGGTCGCCGGAGCGCGGCAGCCTCCAGGACCTCGCCGAGGACACCCAGTTTCGCCTGACAGCCGACCCCGCGAGCTGTGGCGTCCAGGATGACGACGACGGCGACGACGACGTCCTACCGCGGTCGTCCACCGTCGAGGTGGCCGACGACGAGGCCGCGAATGTGAACGCTGTGCGCACTGCCACTGGCACTAGGACTAAAGCCGCCAAAGTCCGGCGCTGGCTAGCGGTGAAACATAACCTCACCACTTCGCGGTTCTACGTGTGCGCCAGGGCCGCCCGGGCGCGAGCCCCGCCAGGTGGGCAGGGTGACGCGCGTAGTGGCTCTGAGGGCAGGACGTCCCCGCCGTGGAAGCACCAAGGTGCTCATGTAGTGCTCGACCTGGACGACAGCGACGTCGGCCTGCTCAACCCGTTCGCGCCGCCCGACCTGCACATCCCACAGCGGTGAGTGCTAGCGATATGTGATAATGTCAGAGATAACACTCTCGCCGATGGGGAGAGCAGGGACACGACGTGGTTTAGTCGGTAAGGTTCCGAGCTGTAGTCGTGTCCCTTGACATGCTCCCAGCACCGTCACCGTCACGCTTCAAGGCGGCAGGATCTTTGTTTACTAAGTGGTCCATCAGCAAGGTGGATGTCAGGGTTCCAAGCTGCAAGTTACTCACCATGTCACTATTTCTGCAACACTTTTGTTCCACGCATCAATAGTTTCAATCAATTTCATCTCAAAAATTTTCTCCCCTTTTTAGATTATCTATTTATCTTCATTTAACGTAGGTTTGTATGGGATGTAAGTTTGACTGAATGATAGGATTTCCTTTAATTTTGGGTATTAAACTGTGTCTCGTGCAAATTGAAGGAGTAGCTGGCACTTTATGGATATTTTTTGAAAGAATATTTCATTTTTTTTCTTTCATTCCACATTTTTCTTTTTAGCGGATATTCATTTCTCCTGCTCTTATCTCAGCTGTGTCCCTGTCAAGATAAGAGGGCCTTGCCCTACATACGTTACAAAGGCTGCACAGATGTGAACTCGACATAAACCCTCTACCCTCTATTTACCTCACAACCGTAATTTTACGACAACTGCCATCTCTGTCGGAAGAATTTACTACTTGCCCGTAGCTTTACGGATTTGTCGATTGTTTCTCTTAGATGTAATCTGCCAACACTGGAAGGTGTATATTTATTGTGGTGAAAATCTGTCATTGTTTCCAAAACTGAAGAGTCATACCTCCTCCTTTAAAAAAAAAAGTTTTTAAAAAAATAGCAGCTAAAGCTACAGGCTTGGAGCACCCATCATCCTTTTGGGAAATCAGTTGCGGGTGTGCCGTCCGGCCGGCGCATGAG